CCATAAAATGTTGATGGTGGTGTGGTATTTTAATAAATCATATAGAATCTTAGGATTTATAACTAGAGGCACAGAGTAGAAAAGCAAGGAGGATATTATGAAACATAACAAAACACAGATCTGGCCTCAACTGCGGTAACGCATCAAATTTTGGGCACTGCACTTTAAGAAAAACATGAAGACTTGAAAGTGGGTGCAGATAAGATCTCTAAGAATGGTACCAGGAATGAGAAACTTCAGTTATGTGTATAGACTGGAAGAACTATGATGGTTCTCCTTAGAGGAGAGATGGTTGACTAATTTGTTCAAAATTGTGAGGTGCCTGCACAGAGTAGACAGATGTACATGTTGGTGGAAGGGTTGAGAATAAGAACACGCCAATTTAATTCAACTGACAAAAAACCCAACAGCAATCCAAAAATGAGCACATTCTAGAAGTTTTAAAAACTGGTGGAACTTTGATTCACAAACGCTGCAACAAGGCACTGGTACCAGTAGATTCCTGACACGTCCTTCTGCTCTAAAAATAACAAATTCTTTTGTCAATGAAGCTTCACCTCAAGCAGTTGCTCAGTTAGACAGTTCTGTGCAACTTCTAAGTGGCCCAGACAAGAAGCCATAGATACCATGACATCCTAATACAGCAGATTCACATTCTTCATTCCAGGGTTGGTTTACAATCATGGGAATGGTCGTAGGTAATTAGATAATTTAGTGTAAATTATTCCATACCTTAATAAATATACCTTTCGAATGTTCCACTAACATAAATTATGTACTACTCACAAGAGCAATTGCTTCCTCTTAAATAGTTTAATAGAATTATAGAACAGGTTTACATAATATTAGGATAACTTACTGTAGAATGTACCATCCCATTAAAGTACTCCACGTGCACTATTATTTGCAAATCTCTTTTACACAGAGAGGAAAAAAAGACTTTGATTTAAATTGCTTCAATCCAAATCTTCATGGAGAGCAAATATTTCACGTTGAGAAATAAAAAGATCCACTCAGATCAATCAAAACTTCAATGAAGCGTTGCGTGACTGATACTGTGGGGATCATAGCTTTTAACTTCTTTATAGTGTCTGCTGAAAAGTTCAGCTTTTCCACTCCAAAAATGTGAAAGGCAATTAAAAACAAAAGCCATTCCTGGAACTCCCTAATGGCTAAATTTGTAAATACACTGTCTAGTATGGCAGTGCACCATACAGATGAAGAAAATTCCAAGACAAAAAGCTGAAAGAACTGCAGATGGTGGAAATCTGAAACAAAAACAGAAATTGCTGGAAAATCCCAGCAGGTCTGTAAAGAGAAATCAGAGTTAATGTTTCAGATCCAGTGACCCTTCTTCAGAACAGTTATTTCAAGAAAATTCCAAGGTTTGTTTTCAGTCTGTGGAGTTGCTGGTTATCAAATCATATTGTGCAATTAGCGTCAGCACCCACTGATTCTCTTACATGAAGAATGGCTAGTAATGGGCAGTGTAATAAATGATATGGAATCCAGTGCTTTCAGAAGAGGAAGACGGAGCTAGGGGGATATTCTCCTATCAAGTTGAAGAAATTAACAATTCAGTTGAGTACTCTGTGTACACTGGTGCAACCTATTAAATGTCTCATCACACATCAGAGGTTTTATTGTATCTTTTGCACTCCCATTTAGTAGATAAATACAGTAATGCAACATTAATAGTTGAAATAAGCTGTCATATGTTGTCACAAAGATCATTGCTTGCTCAGGTGTCAAGAGCAAACTCCATGTATCACTGAACACAGTTAACAGGCAGCAAGCTTCTACTAACATCACAGTGAAATAAATGCAGACAGCCCCCATTAGCCATAACTGAAACAGATCATCTAAATAGTTCTTCATTTTAAGTTTTAATACACGTCAGGATTGTGCATGGGCTGGCAAACATTGCTAATCTTAATAGAGTGTTTGTACTTGTTCGCCAAGAGCATGTTAAATTTTTGGAATTGAAAAAGCATTCGGATTTGACAGCCACTTTGGACACATGTATGAATGGGTGCATTTGGAAAAATCCTGTCCATTTTTAACAAGAGGTTTGGCTGACGGTAACCATCCTTATGGCATATAGAAATAACTGCACAGATTCAGGACGTACCACCCAATTAGTCTATGCTTGTGTTTGTGCTTCACACCAGACTCTTGCCAGTTTACTTAATCTCACCTGACCACATAATCTTCTATTTCTTTCTCTCTTATCTAGCTTTTCTTTAAATATACCTATGATCTTCATTGCAAGTTTCACAATTTCAACATTTCCTAGTAAGAAATTTCTCCTGAAATCCTTATTGGAGTTATTAGTGACTATCTTATATTCTTTTATCATGTGGTTTGATGCCACACATTGAGTTTAGATTCAAAATAGACTGGTCAAGGTTTTTGGCTTAGACTTCAAAATAACACCATCTACTACACAATAGTACTCAATACTGTATTACATGGTAATCATATGTTGACCAGATTCTTACATTATTTGATATTGTTAAGGTCTAAACTGTCTTCTTCTTGTGTCCATGTATTCTGAAAACTCTTATTCTAGAGTGTTCTAGCTCTGCTGCGCTGTGCTATTTATTCTTAGTGGTGTGCAATTCTGTGACATTATCTTAAGGTTGCTGCAGAGACCCAAAGCCCTTACACAACGTTTATCATCCTGCATTATGAAATTTATTTGCACACGTTAAGCTTCAATGTTAACAGCATTAACGCTTCACGGTAACTTTAGGTTCCTCCAATTCTATTTGTTCATTATTAAAATTACTGCAATTGAGATAATATAGGGACTTATAAACATGATCTACAAACAAATAAATAAATCCCCTTTTCTGTAACTATAAAGACCCACATTTCAATAGCAAGAATAGCTACATGATTGCATTGTTTCCTATCCCCTCTTCACACATGTTGTGTGTGTCAATAAATGTAGAAAACCATTGCTGGTTGGGCATCATTTTATTTCAATGCATGATAATCTCAAAAACACCACAACTGCTTTTGAAACTTTAACAATGTATACTGGCATTCTGGTACAATGTTACAGTAACAAATACCATACTTAAATGAACTTTTGGGATTTTTCACTTTCTTTAAAAAACTCATCAATTTCCTTTTTCTTCAAGCAACAGCAAGTACAAACAAACACTGCCGCTCAAGCCAATGAATAGTAAATGCATAAGAAAAATCAACTTAATTCAGCAGTCCATTTTCCTCACTATCACTACAATGATAATATTCATTTAGTATTTTTAAAAAGTACTTGAAATATCCGAAGGTCTTTCACAGGGATATTGTAAAACTAAGTATGACACTGAGCCACAATAGGTAATATGAAGTCAGAAGAGGATTTAGGAGTTTTCTTAAAGGAAGCAAGCAAGATAGACAGATATGAGAAGAAATTCCACACTTTGGGGCCAAGGCAACTGAAGGCACAACCATCAATGGTGGAACAATTAAAATTGGGATAGATAACAGGTAAGAATTAGAGGAATGCAAATATTATGTAAGGTTATGAGCTGGAAATGAATGAGAAGGAAGGGGTAAAGCCATGAAGGGATTTGAAACAAGGATGAGAAGAGAATTTTAAAATTAAGACATTGCTTGACCAGGAGCCAATGTGGATTAGAGAACAGAGAGAGCTGATAGTGGAACAGGACTTGGGAATTTATAGAGTAGGATGTGCGATATGGGTGAGATGTATGATCTTGTAGTCAAGTCTTGAAATAACAAAAGTATGAGTAAGGCTTTCAGCAAGCAAATGAGCTGAGACAGGGTGAAGTTGAGCAATGCTGCAGAGGTGGAAATAGGCAGTCTGAATGATGGCATAAATATGAAATTGGAAGCTCAGCCGAGGATAAAACACTAACGTTGTGAACAAATTGGCTTAATTGCAGACAGTTGCCAGAGAAAAAGACGGAGTTGGTAAATAGTGGATGAAGTCAGAAGTAAGGAGCAAAAATAATGCTTCTGTCTTCCCAATATTGAATTTGAGAAAAGTTCTGCGCATCTGGTATCAGACCACCAGAGAAACTCTCTCTTTCCTATTTGGCATTTTGATTCACCCATCTGCTTATGATTGAAAAAGTCATTGGCAGAGAATCAAACTGATACCCTCCCATTCTGCATTTCTATGCTGTATCAAATTTATAAAGCAATACATTACGGGACACCAAAACTTTGTGGAAACAAGGCTTGACAGCAGTGGCTGCTGTAATCATTAGTATTTAATTAATTAACAAACCCTACTTCATCTACATTAAAATATATACGTCTGTAATTGAGAACAGGACAGCCTTTCTTCATCATTCCTGCAAGGATCAAAGATTCTTCGCAAGCAAAATCAGCTAGCGTACGTAAACCCTAAAGGCAAGAACTGACTTGATCAGAAATATCGATTTCATTGACCCATAATCCATTTGCTTTGTAAAATTCCAACTGAAAGCACCAAAAAAATCATCTTGTGCATGCTATACTTAAGAAAAGATCACAAATCAAAAATGCTCTGTGTTTTTGGCTTTCAGATGGTTCAAAGTACTGTCTCAGGTATAAATTTACAATCCAAATTGGGTTATGTTACTTACAGTGACTTGCTGATGGGAAACAATAAAAATATGAAAATAAATAACAGCTTATGTAATTTTCCTGAGCAAAAATAGAATTGAAAGTGTCCCATGGACTCTGAAATCACCAGCAAATTCTACCAATAGTTCAGAAAGATAATTTCAAAGACAAGCCCTGAAGGTTATTTATGGCTCTTGTAAAAATGTACCTCATAACATTTCCGTTAACTTATTATTAACAACTGTAGCAGTGTTTTACAAAGGAATGAATTCTCAGCACTTTGATAAATTTTACATTATACTCAAGATATGTCAACAAAATCACCATTATTCCTCTACATATGATTGATAGTCAAAGCTGAATGCTTCTGCAAATTGTCAAACATTTGTTTGAGAATCAATTGAGCCGCTTACCTGGCTCCACCTCATGCCAACCACTGGATTGACTGCCACTTCCCGGAGATCGACCCTGATTGGTATAAAAAGGTTCTTCACCAGGGCTGTCCATTTCATCTTCCATTGATTTGTGGCGCTTTGTAGAACTGCAATAGGGAAATAAATGTCAGGGCTGTGCAGTAATACTCAATCTACGTATGCAAGACCACATTAGGGCCATAGTGTCAAACTGCATATGCTGCATTTACTGCATTGCATTCGTCAAAACCTGTCACAAATTCATGGTCAATCTCTATTCAGCAGGTCCTGTCAGGAATGCACAATCATGTTCAGTTTGTATGCACAAGAGCCTGTTGGGACGATAGAGTCACATTCAATCCATTTAGGCTGAATATCTTTACATGAGCTGCCACTTATATTCATATAAATAAAAGATTTTATTGTTCATGCTCACATTTACTTTTACTTTAACAACTAGTTTCTGGTTTAGACAGGAAATTGCATACAACATAAGTCTTACAGAAGATTAGCATGTGCCACAAAGTATCACAGCGGAAGCAGTTAATGCACCTAGCAATAAATGGTAACTCATTGCGTACTTCAGGTAAAGATTGTTACTTCAGTTTTTTTAAGCAATTATGATTCTATAAGTGGCATCCATTGATCTATTTATTTTCTTTCTATCATTTCTCTTCAACCAGCTGTGGTCTTGTATGCTATTTTTGAGATAAGACTGATGGTGAAAAAGTAAACAAAAGTGCTGTTCTTAACAATTACCCCTGTTGGTAGAAACTTCAATAAAGACAAACAGAGCTTTGGTTTTCCAGTCTACACAAAAATTCAAATGTCATAGTTGATATTTAGAAAGGATGCCTGTTAAAATTTTGTGCTAATGTAATATGTACGCCCTCAAAAAAGAAATTATTTTTGTACAATATTTCTGTGAATAGACTATTCAACATTTAGTTAATCAGACATTAAAAATTCAAGGATCAACTTTTCTGTTTGAGTTACAAGGAGTTACTATTTTTCTTTGGTCAGTTCAGATGAAAGCAAAGAAGAAAAAAAAACTACAAAAATATTAACATTTGAAAATAAAAATATGAAATTATGATTTACAATTTGCATTTTCTATACTATACCTTTTCTCCAATTGTGTCAAAATAATGCAGACATAACTTATTAAAAAGTAATGTAAGTTTCAAATCTCTTGAACAAGGATGCTTTAAGAGATGCTTTCAGGCTGATGGTGGTCTTGCCCACTAATTGGAGAACTGGCAGGGAACCCTCAGTACTTTGCAGGGGAGGCCTGATAGAATCAACTGTCCTTCATATACTTATGTGGCCAGGGCTGAGCCATCCCCGTGATTGAGGTTTCCAACTGCGGAAGTCCCACCCATCAAGAGCTGCCTACTAGTCAGAGGCTGGCAGCCTTATCATTGCTGCCAGTGCCAGTGGGAGAAGTGACTGCTGGTGGAAAAGCATTCACAAGAGGCCCAGGATTATCATGGCACCCTGGACCAGAGATGAGTGAGTGTGGCTTAAGGACTACAGGGTGAGAAGTGATGGAAGGGTTGGGTGGGGGGTGGCAGGGGGTTGCAGGAGAAGTGGGATCAGAGCAAGGGAATTTAGCTTTCAGCAAGCACCCTCACCTCCACCCCCAATACCAGGTTTCTGATCAGACGCAGATTACTTAACTACAACTAACTCCTCCCCCACCTCCAAAACTCAGAGTCCACAGGTCCTGCTGGCTGCCCTTCAGAAAGCATGGTAAAGCTATACAGCTCCCTTTAATCCCGAAACCATGATTGAGTTGTGGCGGCTTCAGGGATAATGGGTCATTAATGAGGCTAATTGACATCTCACCACTGACAGCAGGTAGTGCCATCTCAGGTCTTCTGCCTTCAAACTTAGTCAGGTGCTGTTGCTGCCACATGCAGTCTGATGCGATGTCTTTCCTACAATGAAAAGGACCCAGTCACCCGGCTTCCCACAGCAGTGGGCCGTATTAAATCCTTCCCACTGGGTGGAATTTCAACTCACTCAAAACCCATTCACTTCCACAGTTAAAAGGTGGCCCAGAAATGATATCAGTTCAAGAATCTCACAAGGTACTTTGTTGGGTTTGCAACAGAAGAGTGCGCAATGACAATGATACTGCCCAGAGAGATTTTAGAATTTTCAGATTCAAGTAAAATTTCCAATTTCCTTCATCAATAATGTAATTAAATCTATTTTTTCGGTTCTGGTCTGGAGTCTGCTCGCAAGTCAGTTTGTACACAAGTCAGAACACATAGCAGGACAATACAAAACAGCCGTTTGTATGTTGGATCCTTAAAATTACACCCATGCACGTGGTTGCATTTGATCTACAAGCATTCATAAGTTGGACATTCATACGTCAGAGACCTCTTGTACCTTCCCTTACTCTGTTGAAGGCACCCACTCATGCTATGAGAGTCTCAGCACTGAATGATAGCAGGATACTTGAACATGAGACATCACAGTTGACCCTGCACTCTATAGACAGGAATTGCTGAATAACAACCTTGAACAGGAATCCTGGCCTCTTCCCAACCTGGGAATGCAGTGGCATATTGTAGCATGTCCAACAATGTGGTACAGGTGATTACCATATGCCAAAGGCAAGTCTGAAATTTAGCTGAGTTATTGAGAAGAATCACAAAGCAATGTGCTGTAGATATAGTTTCCATGCTAACAGATCAAGCTTCTAAATGTCATTCACAGCCTGAAAATAACTCCAAAGTAACAACTGCACCCGTTTAACTGTAAAATCAAATGACTTATTTTTCTTTTCTATTTATATCTACAAATAAATGATCAGATGAGACCAATTGGTGCACTTATAGAGAAACTAGATAAGCACAAGAGGGAGAAAGCAATGGAAGGATATGATGATGTGGCTAAATGAAAAAGGATGTGAGCAGTCCAATGAGGAATAGAAACACTCTTATGGATCTATTCTGCCAACTGACCATCTGCTGGATGCTTTGTAACAGCCTGTACCAATGCAACTGAATCTCCACCATGTTACTTCAGCACATTACCTCTGAAAGCACTGAAATCATACTTCACTATTCGCAATATGAACCTTACCCTATGGGAATTTCTGAGGTCCTTTTATTTACATTAATCAAGTTGGCACATGTCCCTGCTGGTACATCTGGAGCCCGTGGAGGGAAGGGCAAGTAAAATGCAATGTATGAAAGCTGTGGTGGATAATACTGGTTAGACTGGTTTCAAAATATTTCAAGATGCTCCCTTTTTAAGAGGATTGGTATCAAACTCTCTGATTTCCATCCTGGGTTTCTCCAGCCGTGATCCTAAGCTACACATAAATCATCCACCCTTTGCAACTTCAGAATCCAGAATCAGGAAGCAAAAAATCCAGCAGATGACTCTCATCCAGTCACCTCACCTCTTTATAATGCAAGGCTTCCAAGGGATGATGGAACTGTTGTGTGCAGCGTACTCAAGGGAAATTCCTCTGGTTCAATACTTACACTCACATGACACAGGAATACTCCTGGTCCGAAAGACATTTATGGCCAGTACCGTTATAGGAATGGAATAATTAACATTTGATGATAATTTAAGTATTGGAATGTAAAACTACCAAATATTATTCATTCTTTTAGGCATGGAATTACTTATGAAAGAATTAAAACAACATTCATGAAGGCGGAGTAGCTTCCACAACACACACATGCTTTAAATGTAGGAAATATATGCAGTTTCTGATGATAGAATTTGCTTTTGATAGGAGAAACTCTCATAAAAGACCTGGAAATTCTTTTGGTTTTAACGTCACTGAGGATGGTTTCTTATCAGCTCAGCAAAGGTGGAGACATTATTGAAAATTGCTCATCAAGTTGGCTGTCCAATGCATTTCTTGGCTTAATTTTACTGGAGGTGACTGTCAAAGAAACCAAAAAAAAACTGTTCCATAGAGACAAGCAGCCAGTGAGGATAATTACGACCCCACTTAGGTCCAAATTCCAAAACCTGCTAGCATATTTCCAACGTCAGACACCGCTTTCCCTCACCTTCTGAATCTGGAGCCTAGTCATCATTCAGACAGCCTGTATAGGACCATCAGAGCTCCTTTCAATTGCACCCAAACACAATGTTGCTGTGCAGAGGAGGGCCCAGTCAGAGCCACAAACAATCCTCCTCCTTATGGATGGCACAGACAGCTATGAGCATTCTTTACTTTTCAATTTTGGTTATTGCTTCTGAGATACCTCAGAGTTGAGGTGCCCTCATTGGCATTGCATTTCTCAGCAGCACCCATCTTGCCCTGGGAGGCTTTTGTGCTGTGGGCTCTTTGATGGGACCTCCCAGTGTCCTTAATGAGACAGCAATCATCAAAGCCACCTTCTTATTGACTGGCCATGGAAGATTCTTACCCATTTCTTTCACATAGGAACAACCCGGAAATGGTTTTCAAACAGGGCCTCCCTATCATGCTTGCAAGATGAGATTTTGGGGTCTACAAGCTCTGAAGTAACAACTGCTGCTGTGGAGCTGGACTGATTCCTGATAGTTCCAAAGCCTCTTTAAAAAGCTCATGTTGCTTTTCCACAGAGGGCCAACTGCTTACTGAGGCTTGATTCCTGCAATATGAGATCCTGTGTGAAAAGACAGGGATGCATCTGCCATTCTTTTCAGCTGTGAGGTGGTGCTGAAGGGATGGGGAGATGATGGAGAGGGCAGGGAAGGACAGATGGTGGTGAGGGGAGAGGAAGGTGGTCATTAGGTTAGGGAGGGAGAGTGGTGATGAGAGGACAGGGAGGAGGAGGACACCCCCACATCCCTCCTGCTTGGCCCAATCCCACCTCACCCCAACAGACCCAACTCACTCCTCTCAACAACCCGACTGGACCCAGCCATGCCTCAAAACGTCCAGCGTGACATATAGCCCTCCTCCCCTCCCACACACTCTTGCATGGTTCTCACCCAGCTGGAATCGCACCCCCTCATCCACCTGGCACTCTATCCCTCACTCACTTGGCATCCTATTTCCCATTCACATATGAGACATTTCAACCTCAATCCCCCTTTATCTAGCCACATACCACCATACTTCCTCACTTTGTGCACAGATACAGAAAATTAACACATT